CTTAGTGAGAGCCGTCTTAAAATGCAAGAATAAAACAGGCCTGGGGCTCAGCGCAAAGGCCGTGGGTTCCATTCCCAGCATCGCAAAGATCTGAAGTAAAACAGGAGTGTTTGTCCACTGAATGGCGGGGAAGTGGTCCACGGACGGACGGGGCGGGGGTGGCCCACACAGAGGCACCACGGATCCTGGCACCTAGCACGCCCGGAAGATGAAACTTAACCACCACAGAGCTAGGGGCTGGGGATCTAGCTCAGTCGCACAGCGCCTGCCTGGTGAGCGCCAGGTCCTGAGTTTGATTCCTGGTACCAGGAAAAAAACAAAAAAAACAACCTCAGAGCTAAGTCAGGAGAAATTAACTGAAAATACGGAAACCTCAACTTAGAAAAACTGGCCCTCTGTGTCGAGAAAGAAAAGGTTAACTGCCCAGCCCAGAAGGCAAGGCGAGAAAAAGACTGCAAAACACACATTTAGAATAACAAATAATTCGTCAGCATCACCAAACAGTCTTCATTTTCCCAAAAACTCATGCAGCGGGCACATTCTTCAGGTAAGGTAACCTGCGCTGTACCTAGAAGGTAACTCCAGGAGACCTCCCACATCTCCACCTCCAAGGGCCACCACCATTTAGACAAGGAAGGGAAGCGCGGGGTACCGCACGGAGTCACTGAACATTCATTCCAATGCAGGGCACGCAAGTCTGATGTGGGTAACGGGACCGCACTCCCCAGAACAGCGAGCCGAAGATAACCCTTTCCTTTAAAGAGTTACAAGCCTCACAGAAAGCAGACAGCAAGGGCCTCTAACAGCCAGCGTAGGCAGATTGTTGAATGAGTGATATTTTCAGAAGTTCACCCTCGTAGTCAAAACCGATTCATCACCCATTGTTAACTGGAGCAGAATGTAATTAATTATGGTAGCTTGACTACTTCACGTTAATTCCACTAAAAAAAAAAATCATTATAAAAAATCATTATGGATAGAGGTTATTACATGAAACACTGCTAAAGTAAAAACAGTAATGACTAAGGCTAAGAATTCAATTCACGTTTAAAACACCTCATTGGAAAATTTGAAATATAAATACAGGTAGGAAAAATAGCATAATGAATTCCCAAGTTCCCACTGCCCAGCTTAACAATTACCAACTCTCGGCCGCTCTCTCACAGCTGCGTTCCCGCTCCAGCCAGCCCCGGGCCTCAGTCACTCGCACACTCATCTCAGCAATCACTTCTCATGGTTTCATACTTCACTTTGCATCTATCAAAGAGATGGGCTTCTTCTAAAATGTAACCACATACTACTGTCACACCTCTAAGTAACTGTAGAAAACCTTAAGATCATCAAATACCCAATTGCCCTATTTTGCCAATTGCCTCTTATTTTTTTTAACCTGCTCAAAACAAGTCCATAGTGGAGCGGGTGTGTGTTCCCTTCACTCAGCTCCCTCCGCTCTCTGCACGCTGGTGGCTGGAGAAAACGGGCTCCTGTATCCTGTGGTTTTCCAGTCGGCCTTGGGGTAGCGTCGCTGTTGTCCTCTGCATGTCCAGTAAAGTGCAAGGCGCGTGTGCAGGCTCGGCCAGGTTCCCATCTGACGGGCAGAAGGACCGAATCTGACGACACGTGACCCTTGGGAGTCGGCAGCCACTGCGGTGAATACCGTCTGGATCCAGCCACCACTGGGGCGAGCAGTGATTCCCTAATGCTTTGTTTTGGACTTCTTAGCTACAGTATGCCTTTAAAAGTGTATTCCAGGGCCGGGATATAGCTCAGCAGCAAGCATAAGGTCCTGAGTTCAATTCCCAGTATCCAAAAAAAGGAAGTACATCCCAGTAGTAACTATGAACTAGGAAAGCCTATACAGTGAGTCTCAATCCTCTGCAAAGGTATTTTACTGATGCTGAAGTTATTTGGGGTGCTTCCTGGAATTTTCTGACAAACCTCCACTGTGGTGGTTCTCTGGGTTCTCCTTATGTATCTCCTACCCCCGGAATTAACCAGTCAGCCAAGAATCTGATTCCTTTTATGAAAATGGCATTCAAAACTGGGCATGGCGGCACATGACTAAGGCTGAGGCAGGAGGATTGCTGCAAGTTCGAGGCTAGCCTGGGCTACATAATGAGCTTAAGGCCAGCCTTAAGGCCAGGTCTGCATAGCAAGACCCTATCAAAAGGGAAAAAAAAAAAAAAGGCATTTAGAGACCACAACTGGGGCACTAAATTTGAACTTCATTTGAATTAGTCCAAAGCTAAGACGGTAAGTTAAGCAGAAGCCTTCCACTATTCGTTCTGATATATTTGTGTGGCTCCACAGATACAAATTTTTAAACCTAGGGCTCTCATTTTTTAAAAAAGTACTTAACACATTAATGGTAAAAGACGGCATCATAATTTTATCAGTGACTTCCAAGAAACCTTCAACACCAAAATTCCGCTTAGAAATTTATCTTATTATTAGGTTTGGGACTTCCACATAGAATTGTCTCAAATAATGAACCACCTAGAACCTAAACGTCCAGACAGTAAGCGGTTAATGAAAAAAATGCACAGTATTTACAGGCAGTACTTCTATTACTAACAACGTAGCTATAATGCCAATGTACTGTCAAATGGAAACGCTGGGCTGTAGGTGTGTATTTTTAGGACGTATCAGTTGTAGTCAAAAGTCTCACGGACTCGTCTCCGAATTCTGTCAGTGCGAACTAAGTCATCCCGTGTCCCCGCTGCCGGCTGAGGGTTTGGCGTCTGTGGCCACGGGACAGACCAGACTCCTCTCTCCGCCTCCCAGTTCCCAAAACGTTAGTTCTCATTATGGGCTCTTTGCCTCGCCTTGTCACCGGAGGGCTGCTTCTTCCTTTAGACGGACGCCAGGGACCAGCAGAAGCTACTCGGTGCTTCACCCAGCCCTCTCACTGCGCCTAGCGCCCTGCTGCTCTTTGTGGGGAGGAAGAGACACTGTGAAGAGCATGTCAATTACAAAATGCACCCATTTCTATGAAGTTTATACATACAAATACATACAGACGACACACTAACAAAGCACTATAGAATAAAAGGGCTTAATATGTACGCATCCTGGTACTATAAAGACCTAGATCCAGAAACGATAACCCAAAAATGAAAGTGGCCGTAAACGGGGAAAGTGAATCCAATGGGAGCGGGTGCTGGGTCACTGCTGGGCTGGGTGGGTGGTCTGCTGCGTGGCTGATTCGTCGGTTGAGTGGTTAGGTGGCTGGCTGGCTGGGTGAGCGGATGGGTGGGTGGTTGGCTGATTCGCTGGTAGAGTGGTTGGTGGGTGGGTAGGTGGCTGGCTGGTTGGGTGGGTGGGAGGTTTAAACACAGTCTTGCTATCTTACCCAGGCTGGTCTCGACGTCCTGGGCTCAGGAGATCCTCCCACCTCAGCCTCCTGAGTAGCTAGGATTATGAGTGAGCCACTGCATTACCTGGTTTGGAAGTTGTTTTTAATCAAGAATATAAAATGCTGAAAACAAAGCTATATACTCTGTGGAGCAACTGTTTCTTAGCAGTCAAAAAATTTTTTTCCCTAAAATCTCTTACAACACGAGTGATTTCTCCAAATACGACCTGCCCCTGGCAGAAATTCTGACACTACGTCCACCTTGCTCTCTTGTTTCCGGAGACGGTGAACCTTTAAAGACAGGAAACAACTATCTCGTTGGTACCTGGGAGCACGGGCTGTCCAGGTTACACCGCATTCGCTGCACCGACGCCTGCGATTAGAAACGCTGAAATTAAAGGCCTTTTCAAACACTGCCCCCGCAAGGGCGCCCCAGCTGGCAAGCACACCCGTCCCGCCTTTGGAGGAAGAATAACCACTACAGACTACAGCAAGCGAGGCAGCCTGAGCGCGGCCTCACTCCACTCGGACAGGTCTTCAGTTCTCACCAGTGTGTGACTATGACAGAAACCAAGTACCCAGAGCCCGGAGTGCTGAAGGCACCTCAAAACCAAGACTGAACACACAAATCTCTCTTGCTTAAGTAAGTCCTACCCCAAACTGCACGACACCGCCTGACACCATGGAGAATATTAAGTCGAGAAACTATTTAATTTGTTTTGCAGTACCGGGCATTAAACCCAGGGCCTCCGTGCCAAGCTACGTGCCCGGCCCTTTTCATTTTTATTTTTTATTTTGAGACAGGGTCTCACTAAGTTGCCCAGGTTGGACTTGAACTTGCAACCCTCCTGCCTCAGCGTCCGAGTGCTGGCATTCTGAGCATGTGCCGCCACGCCCAGCCCCACACCCAGCTTTCTAACAGGTAAGTGAATTTTGGAAAGTGCGCCCAAGTAAAATTTCAAACAGAATTTAAGCAGTTAAAAATGAATTTGTGTCTGAATTAATGAAAAATGATGATTTCATGGATAACTAAGCATATTAATTTTGATGGTCCTAGACTAACAAAATACAGTAACAGTAGATGTATATTTACATATTTAAAAGCTATTACCCATTTATGATAATTTCAATTTAAAAAACAAAGAGACTCCATGGCAGATGACTCCACGCAAGGAAGTATTCCGGGCTTTTCTAGGTAACACGAAAATGTCAATTCTCTACTTGTGATAAATCTGACAAAAGAGGAAAATGTTGGCTCTAAATTTTAAAATATGCTTAAGATTAAACCAGGAATTCAAAACAAATGGGGTACTTAGTATCCAAACCCTTGAACAATACATAAAAATAAAACCACAAGTTTCCAATACGACTCAGCTCTTCCTCTAAGACAAGCAGTGCGTGTAGGTTAGTAGTGAAAAGCGGTGGTGGAGATATCAGAGTGTTTTTGGAAGTCCTCACCGTATGTAAATACAATGTAACTGACCGGGAATTTTCTTTAGATTCCAAACTAAAATAACTGTACTTGTGTAGGAAGAGACGACCCTCTTTCGCTTAACAGTTTCTTTCATTTAGTAAAGAAAAGCTGCCTTGCAGAGAGAAGCTTCCCGTGCTAGTCGTCAGAGTTCAAGGAGCATAGAACCTTCAAGCCGATTTCAAGTCTATTTATTAATGCATTTCAAGTTTCAAAAAACCTTACATCTTTGCACAATACTTTATTTTTTGCAATTTTTAGTAAAAATTTCCAAAGTGAACAAAAAAGATACTGTATAAAACACAGTGGACATTAAATTGACAGTAGTATTAGATCGCATTTGTCTTGATCTTTTCATTTTTACCACATCTTGATTTGCAGTGGAAAGAGTTCAGTGCACGTATCTTTTCAGAAAACATTTAACTTAAGACTCAAAATAAAATAAGGCAGTGTACACCTGCCGAAACCCTACCACAGGATAACATTACAAGCAAAAAATGTACATGTTCCAAAGTCTACCACGCTCAAGAAGTTACTAAGAACTCTCGCAGAATAAAAGTCACCATTGTAGAAAGGCAAACCCACTTCCAACCTTTGCACAGTCCAAAAACAAAGGCATTGAAATGATTTAAAAGCAATTTCTTACATTTCTATCTATTTGCTTGTTTAGAATTATTTATAATCTATCTGGGGATTCATGTACAAAATTTGTCTCTAAATCATGTACAAAAAGCTGTGTTTTGAAAAAGTCACCACATACTGTACAAGTTTACAAGGAGGAGGTCCCATTATTTCTCTAGCATTTTTGGCCTTGCTGGCTTGCGTCACATTATGAGAATGATTGTGTAAACCTTATACTCTTACGAAAAAAGGAAAAAAATCCAAAACACAGAAATCATTTCAACTTCCCCTAAATCTGCCTCCTATGCGAAGCCAGGAAAATCATACTGTTTACTTCTAATGTAAGTAATGTAGCTGGAAAACAGAAGCAATAAATATGTCACAAGCTTAAAATGTTCTGTAATGCCCCCTTCCGTTTCCTGCATAGCACATAAACCTGTTAATATTTTGCTTTCTCTTTCTTTAAAAAAGCCAATTATTTACATCTGCTTAAAAAATAAACTTGGAATGGGACATTGTGCTGTTTCACCTTCACTGTGGTTAAAATATTTAAGGGCAAAAATGTCAGACGCCTAGCTACAACCTGAACGGCTGGCTGAGCACGCCACGCATCCTTAGTGGTTTCCAATGATCAGTGACGGAGTGCTGAAAAAACTGCAAATACTTGGATAAAGACACAGCTTTTCTATTCCACATCAGACAAAACGCAGTGAGCATGTTTTAGATATGTGGAAAACACAAGTGACCTACAAATAAAAAGAACCACCTACTGACGTAATTCCTACCAAAACATGAGTCAAACTTCACCTGTCAATTCAAACAATGGAACTGGATCGGAGGGCGTAAACCATGGAAGCAGAACTCCGACGTTTGCACGGAGAGCCAGGGAGGACGCTGCCCACGCCGCCTGCGTGGCGTCGGCCTCACACACAACAGACGCCGGATGAAGGGCAATGACCTAAGAACCAACTGTCATTAGAAGAAGGTACATTGATTCTCATCTCACAACCGCCTGCGTGAAGCGTTACAGAATCCTGGACCACTGACCACCACCGTTCTCTGTTATCCTGAGTATGTCAATTAAACAGTAATTTTTCATTAAGAGCGGAGAAATCTTATAATACAAAGAAACATCCCTATTGCAATTTCTGTTTACCATTGCACACAGAAGTACAGTGCACGTAAGAGATACATGTCTGCACAGAACAAGGTATGTACACTGGCAAGCGAAGTCTCCGGTGCTCAGGTGGCTGAGCCTCCACGCCTTGACTGGCAGTTGAAAAAAATATATATATTTCAATTTTGATAAAAGTTCATCCAGAGCCAAGTTTGACTGCAAGTGAAGAAAATGCAGCAACGCAGAACAGGGAGCACAGGGCACGAACAGTACTCTAAGACTGCGTGCCACGGGTTAAAAATATCTGTCCGTAAGAAAGCTGGGCTCCTTCCCACCCCACCCCCGACCGGGATCTGCAGGCTTTAGATTTCAGCCATCCCGCCTGGTCTGAGCGCGCGCTCTCTCTTGCCGTTTCTGCCTTCAGCTACACTTGCGAGGGTTCGATCTGGAGATGGTGACTGAGCAGGTTTCTCTTTGGAGTGAAGTTTCCCACTGTAGGCACTAGAAGAACCAAGGCAAAGCCGCAGTCAGCGTCTCATGTGTCCCATCTGGTAGCTCTCCCGGGGCCGCTGGCGCTGGGGCTGCTGCATGGGCTGTGGCGGTCTCCTCCTCTTTAAAGTGCCTGCCATCAAAACAGAAGCGAACTGTTCATACCCGCGCTGGTTCTTCTGGTGGTACCGGGAGACTGAACTCAAGGTCTTCACCCTGAGCTAGCCACATCTCCAGCCACTTTTCATTTTATTTTGAGACGGGCCTCACTAAATTGCTAATATGCCCAGTCTGGGCTCATGTTTGCAATTCTCCTGCCTCAGCCTCCCAGAGGCCTGGGATTCTAGTCATGTGCCACCATGCCCCATCCACTGTGAACTTTGTAATCTTTAAAAGCAAAGCTGCTCTTTCAAGAAGGATTACAGATCAGCAATGTCCAACACAGACACATAGTTTAAAATTTTCTGGTAACTGTTCAGTGTGGTGGCTCATGCCTGTAATCCCAGCACTCAGGAGGCTGAGGCAGGAGGATCACCATGAGTTTGAGGCCAGCCAGGGCTACACAGTAAGTTCAAGAGCAGCTTGAACTACACAGTGAGACCTGTGTCCAAAAAAAAAATTCTGGTACCCCCCAAAAATATAAAAGAAACAAGTGAAATAATTTTAGTATTTATTTCATTTAACCCAATATAGTCAAAATATTACCAATGTCAGTATGTGCTCAATGCTAAAATTACTACTGAAGTATTTCACTTTCACAGCAAGTCTTCAAAGCTTGGCGCACATTTATATTAACAACGCATCCCAGCTGAGCCCAGCCCCGCGGCAGCCACAGGGTGGGACAGATACGTCCAGATGAGCACCAGACACTGCTAGCTCAGCACCTGTGGTGAGGACGCGTCAGGACCAGGCCTGGGGGACGGTGCTGCGCTGCCCAGGTGCCTGCTCGTGTGACAGGACAGCACGGGCTGCCATGGGGGAGACAGGGGGCTCCACACACAGGCTTAGCTCCTCTGCCAGTGTCCAACAGACGATAGCTAGTCTTTAAAGGCACTCTCCCTTTAAAATGAAATCACTACACAAGTACACACTGGAGACCAAACTTGGTCAAGGTGTCCAAAAAGTATCCTGTGGCCCTTGGAAATCCCTTTAAAGTAACGTAAGTTCCAGAACACTGATACTGTCAATTTAGGAAAAGCAGTATCAAAACCAAATATCCTCTGATGCTCCATAAAATACTGTGCCTGGCGGGGCCTCTGGGCTCTCCGGCCTCCGACCAGACGCAGGCCAGGGAGCAAGGGAGGGAAGGAGGAGCGCGCGGACCGAGCTACTTTACGCAGGGCCGGCAGGAGGCCGCAGCAAGCCCTCTGCAAAGCGGGAGGGACGGGCCATTCAGGCCCCACTGCCTTGGGGGCGGGAGGCCTGAATAATCCCTGTCTCCTCCCCTGCACCCCTCAAGGACCCAAGTAAAAGCAAGAGGGCCTCTGCCTAAGGCTGTACCTTCCCGAGAGGTAAGTGGGGGACACGCTGAGGAGCTGTTTCCAGGCTGCGGCAGACACCCCAGGCGCCCAGCAGACAGGGTCTGCATCCTCCACTTCTCCGCCTGGGGAACCAACCCACCCCGCCAGCAAGCATTAAAGAAGAACAGATGCACAACCATTAAACTCAGAGGCCCACCATTCACCACAATGAGAACAAGGGCAGATTAGACTAGGAAACAAAAACATGAACACAAAAAAACAAGCAAAAACCAAAGTTTCTAGTTCAGTGTTTTTGGACACTGAGGATCAGCACTGAACTGGCAGTCATTTGCTGAAGTCGACCCATGAAAAGCCCTAAGCATCAGCTAAGTCCTTCACATCCGGTGACTCCTCAATACAGGGGAAGGGCTACAGAATCAGTCACTGAGGCCCTGCGGACGGTCCCACCCGCCAAGGCCGGGGCTTCCTTACCTGGAAGTGGTTTAGGAGGCGGCAGCTTTGGGTTGCTGCTGGGCGTGTGCACGCTGCACACCTTGATGAAGCCGGCCATCAGCATGATCAGGGCGATCCCCATGAGCAGCACGGCCCACCAGTTTGCCTGTGGATGAACAGAGCCTGCTGCTGAGTCGTTCGGGGAGGAAATACGCGACAGAGGAGGCGGCGTCGCTCGTGAAGAGCGTCTGCGGGCTTGAGTGTGCGCACAGTGCGCAGGCGCCTACTGACTGCCTGAGCACAAACCAGTCTCACGGAGACACGAAGTCACGCGTGACCTCACCTCGCAGACGCGAGCCGTTCGCCTTCCCCATCTCTTCCTACCTGCCACGCTTGTCTCTCTCTCACACACACACACACACACACACACACACACACGTACAAAACGAGGCCCGGTGCGTATGGCCCCGTGTGCTCCCACATTAAGTAGTTTCTGCTTTGACTATTTCCTCTGTGCTTTGTTTCTCATGCTTACTGACTGTGTGTTGTTTTTATTCCCCATGGTTTAGAAGGTACGTAACTCACTTTAAATTCCACTCGTGGGCAGACTGTGAAAATGCTCTTTAACCTGTATTATTTTCTCAATGTAAGTTAAGACTGGACCTCCCCGGCCCCGTTTTCCTGGTTTGGGGCAGAGTCTTGCTATCCAGCTCAGGCAAGCCGTGCGTGCACTCCTGTGCAGGTCAAGGGTCCCTCTGCCCCGAGCCCCTGGAAGAAGCCTGTCTCTTCAGAGCCCTCCCTTCCTTCTCGGCTGCTTACTTTCTGCGGGGAGGAGGGGGCCGGGAGGGGAGACCAGGGTCTGGGCCTGCAGGTGAGCAAGCGCCTCCCCACCGCGCAGGACCTCCGGCCCCTTCTCCACCTGCGTCAATAGGGACTGAGCCCAGACGTCAGTAATTATTCTTATATATTGCAACACTTTATTTTTCTTATACATTTTCATTAAGTCACCTATATGTTAAATGGCTTTTAACAGGAAAAATGGAAGGATATAAACGATGGCGTTTACTCGGTCTAAGAAGGAAGCAAAAATTTCACTTAAACCATATTAAATCAATTAGCCAAACAAAAAACTTCTGAAAATTACTATTTGTATAATCTCATTTATAGGAAAACTGCTCCTTCCATTCTTGATAAATTCCACTTTGCAACTGCAAATATTCAAGCCATTTTAGGGTAGCGTGTACTAATAAACATTGTGTAACTAAAACATATTTACAGCTTTAAAACTGAATTTTCACACTGGCTTAATATAGATTGTTATAACATACACAGTTACTGCTATTTTTGGCAAAACTCTCATTGGAAAAAACTTCTATGATGTGAAGTCTTAAAGCCATCAGCCTTCTGCCTCTGCCTACCCTGCGCAGCCAGCAGCGGGGACGCACAGACCGAGAACGTCTGTCTGGAACATCCCGAGTCCCTGCCCTGTGTGCATGACCCTCCCCGCGCTTACAAAGGCTTCAGGAGCAGCGCCGGCGTCTGGACAGCCGGACGGCCGGACTGAGCCGCTCCCCCTCAGCCCCAGCCCGCACGGCAGGCACCCAGCTCCCGGACAGCCGGAACACAGCTCAACCCCGGGAGCCGGGCACTGCGCTGCCCCTCAGCCCTGAGCCACAGCTCCAGGGGTTCAGGCACAGCCAGGAGAGCTGCTCGCCGGGCCTCGGCCGCCTGCTGTACCCTTCCACCCGGGAAGGTGCCCGCCTGCCTCTGACGCTCGCCGGGGACGCAGGGAGCCTGTGGACGGAACGGCCCTCCCTCCTCCCGCTGCGTTTCTCTACTGTCAGAGGCGACTGTGCGTCTTCTGGGCAGAAGGTCGCGGAGCAGTGGGCTCCTCTCGCTGCGTCCCAGCCGGCGACCCACGTCCCAGCCGGAGACCCACGCGGCTCACTCCCCCTCGGACTAGGACGGCATCTGCTGAACTGTCAGAGACTCCTCTCTTCTGTCCTCAGCAAGCCCTGTGCAGAGGCAGGGATCGAAGCCACGTGACCGTCCTGCTCTTCATCGCACGCCTTGGCTCACTCACACTGACTCCTGCGGAACGGGGGCTGCGGCGTCATGTTGAACACGACCTCCTTCCTGGAGCACCCCCTTCCCGGCTCAAACCCCAGGGTCACCCTGCTCTGCCTCACCCCGGCCCTGGACCCACAGTTCCCCTGAGCCCCGGGTCCTCTCCGCCCCGCCCGGCTACGCAGAGCCTCTCCTCCCGCTCGCAGCTGGCACCCCAGGCCGGCCTCGCCTCCACTGCGCGGGGCAGGGCCCTCGCTGCCGGGCCCGGGCACCCGCACAGACGCCCCCCCCGCACACCTCCCAACCTCGCCAGCCTCCGCCGCCCTGCCCTCGCTCTGCCCCACTGCAGCTGCGACCCCGGCATGGGGCCTTGGCTAGATGCCCAGAGAGCCTCGGGGCTCCCGCACGGGACTGCTCGAAGAGGGGCCAAGCAGACACCGGTGGCCCTCGGGAGGGGCCCATCGGGAGACACAGGCGTCTCCTCCAGCCGCTGCCCCCCTCTGGCTTCCCGGCCGCCCGGACGTGAGCGGCCCTCCTCCGCCCAGGCCCTCCTCCACGCTGCCGGCCGCGCGTGGACTGCGCCCGGACAAACCTCCCCCTTCCAGGGTGCTGTCAGGACGGCCTCAGCTCAGAGGCGGTGAGAGACGGCCACCTTGCCCGGCCACACCTAGTACCTTCAGGGATGAAGTGCTCAGGGAGGACAGTGCAGAAGGGAGAGGGGACCGATGGACGTTCCCTTCGAAAGCGACCATTTAGGCCTGGCGCGGCTCCCCGTGTCGCACGTACGGCTCAGGCCGGTTCTGCTCAGGCGAGTCCCACAGCCGCCCTCCCTTCCTCTGCACTGAGTCTGCAACCCGGGGCAGCGGCCTCGCGGTCGCCTCTGCTCGCCAGAGCCGCGGGGACCCACTGCCGCCCTCACGCACGGCCGGCGCCGCGTCCTCGCTGCTGCGGGCCTGACTTCCACACAAGCTTTCACACGGGAGCTTTCACGTGATCTATTTTAACTGCTGGCGAGCTCCCTGTATGGACCATGTGTGGACATGTGAACAGGGCTGAACCTGGACTGGAAAAAGCAGGTTTACACACTACTTTTTAAAAGCCGCTTCTTGTATTCTACTGAGACGGCCAGGCTTAGGCCGGAGTTTTAATTCAGAGTAAAATTTTCTTTCGTTTCCCATACAAAGGAGTACCGTGCCCTTCTCTCCGCGTAGTCCCGGATGGCACACCCTCTCCCTTACTAGGTGAGTCTTCCATGGACTCCGGCTTTGTTCTGTTTTGTTCACCGCACAGCACAGGCCAGCCGCCTGGCCAGCGGCACGCGGGACTCCCAGTCTGTCAGGACGGCGCAGAGCCGCGGTGCGCAGTGCAGGGAGCGCCCGGGCCGCGCCGCTCCGAAGCCTCGTGGCTCTGACAACCTCCGCCCGCCCCTCTGGGAGGGCGGCACCGCAGGCCACTCGGTGCGATCCCCGGGGCCTCGGGTGAGCGTGCCACTAAACCAGGCTGCTCACCTTCCCGGCGTACCCTACCCTCCAAGCGGCCGCTGTGCTGCCACTGCTGAGCACAGAGCAGACCGCGCGCCTTTATTAGAACTCCCCCTCAAAGGCTTCACCGAAGAGCTCCACAGGGCAACACTCATAGAGGAGCAGAAAAGCAAACCAGGAGCGAAGCCTGACACACCGCAAGGCACTCGCAAATACGTGCCGGGCTCCCTTCACTTGGCCCTCAGCGCCTACGCTTGCGGTGGTGCGGAGGCTTCCTAAGAGTCCACCGGAAATCTGCCGCGGGAAGAGCGGGGCCCAAAGTGCAAAGAAGGCTTACTTCCAAACAAGTGACTTGGTCAAACAGGAATAATCAAACTTTTTGAAAGAAAACAGCAAACAGAATTTTCTAGTTTGTAAATTCATGCTCCTCCGCTCTCCTCGCATCCCCTCCTCTCCACCCGACACTCTGGACCCGCTTTTGCCTTGAAGAGCTCAGCGAGGACGTTGCTTTCTCCGGGGGCTTCCTCGGGCTGGGCCTGCCGCAGGGCACTCGCCGAGCACGTGTGAGGCCCTGTGTCCACCCCTGGCACCACAGCAAAACAGAACACCACAGAATCAACAGGCCCTCCTCCCTTCTGTGAGAACAGCACCCAGAACCGTAAGTACGCTCCCACGTGCCTGCACTCTCTATCTGAAACGGGACTGCAAATCCCCTGACCTCCGTCCTGCTACCTCCAGCCCCGCACACACAGAAAAGCAGAACAAAACGAACTGTGAAACCAGCATTACGGGCCAGCGATTTTTCCAAATACCAACCTCGAACTAGCTAATGGTCCACCTGTTATCTCTAGTCTGCCTACCGCGGACACATAACGTGACCCAGATCTTACAGAAGTCTAAAAACATGTTTCTGACACTGCGGCGGCTGGTTTTTCAGCACCTACACAGCAGAAACGAAGAACAATGCAAGCAGCACGGCAGCAAGAGGAAAAGGGTGAAGCAAAGAAGCCTGGACTGCCCCGTGCTGCAAACCTTGCTGAAACGAATAAAGACCAAAAGGATCCGGTCCCAGCCCTGTGTGGCAGCACAGCGTTACAATCCCAGCTATTTGGGAGGCTGAGGCAGGAGTATCAAAAGTTCCAGGCCAATCTGGGCAATTTAGCAAGACTTTGTTTCAAAATAGTACTTTCTTTTAAAAGGCTGAGGATCTAGCTCATGGTAGAACACTTATTTGCCTAGCACGGGCAAGGTCCTGGGTTAGATCCCTAGTACTGGGAGTGGGAGGGTAGGGCAGACCTTGACCTAGTTCAGCTCAACAGATATTTACTAAAATATGGCATTTAAGCACTTGAAAACTTTTAGTTCCTAGTAGGACCTGGAACTCCAAATTTTTCTTCCAAATTTTTCCAGGTAACTACTTATGTCAGAAGCCCAAATCCTGAGACATTTTAGTGGCCATGATAGCAATGTTTCAAGAATTTAGGGAATGGAACAGGGCAGTGGATAGATAATACCAAGATAAATGAACACAATGGTGTATTTGTAAGTACGGTCAACCTTGACAGTTTTAGTTTTTAATGATGCCCTCTTTAAAAGAGAATTACCAGAGCGAGCTAAA